CTCCGAAACTGCCAAGGTTCTACAGACCCATTGGCCAGGAAGAGGCAGAGAGGTGAGTGGAAGCTGGGAAAGGCTGAGCCAAAAGAGAGGAGCCCTACAGTGTGGAGAGCTACCACTCCCCTGCCTCCGCCTGTGCCTGGGTCCCAAGCGCCACTGGGCTCCTTCCAGGCCACTTCTGTTTCCTTAGTCTGTGAAGGTTTCTCAAAGACTTCAGGTTTTCTGGCTGGTTTAACAGCCTTCTGAAGGGGGTTTTAAAAATCTCAAATTTGAACTGTCCAAGCTGCTTATGATCTCACTGAGCCACAGTGATTGCGAAGGAACCAGGCTCCTCGCTACAGTGGTGTACAACTGAGCACGGCAGTCATTATGTTTTTTCAAATTTCCCTTTATTCTTTGAGGCTAAGAAATTTTGATATATTCAGAAAAAGCGACTAAACATTCAAGAAAATAAAGGCAAAGTCATTTTGTGCCACCACCTCAAGCCTGGGCTCATATCAGTATGGAAAATGAAAAGGGAGATTTCCACAAAGAACTGTGCAGACATTATAACCTGAGCACCAGGCTGGACAGGCTGACATCTACTTTGCTCTCATGTCCTCACCCTGATTCCTTTCAGAAAACTGGGCACTGTTCTTAACTATCTGAGCCTCAGATTCCCTATCTGTAAAAATGGGAGCATCCGGTTTTCTACCTGATAACCTATCAATTGTAGCCTATGGGCAGATCAATACTGTAATGCTAAACTAAAGGGTGTTAGGCTAGAATCTAATCTAATCTGCCAGAATCTAAGAGCTGTGCACTTGGAAGCTGTCTTCTGTCCAACCCACGCCTCCTCACACCTGTACCAGAACAGTGTTTGGTAAGCAGCGGACTCTCAAGAATGTGTGCTCTAAATTTTTACCCCTGTCCATTCTACTCAAGCTTGGTGTTCCTTCTGTTCTGTCTGCCACCTTTGATTGGTCCCAATAGCTCCCATATTGCACATGTAAGTATTCTGATATCTATCCTTCATTTCTCATGACTTCTGCCTTAGCAAACCCCATGTTCTTAGCTTCTAAACTAACTTACTTGCTTCATAAGCTGCTTCCTCACTCTGCCTGCCCCTCAAGTAATTTCTCTTGTCGTGACAAAGCACCTCACATAAGCAACTTGAGAAAAGAGGTTTTATTTTGGCTCATGGTTTGAGGGTGATTTTAAATCCTGTGAAGTTGACAATCAAGATCAGCCATTGCACAGACATTCTGTAGGTCACTGTCAAATTGGTCCTTCTCAAAAGTTACCTTAAAATTTTAAAGTCCCTTGAGAGCCAGGAGTGGGTCTTATATATGTCACACCTATGTATGACACACAGTAGGTCATATGTATATGGCATACCCTATGTATGGAACACAGTAGGTTATATATACAGTATACCCCATGTATGGAATACAGTAGGTCATATGTATATGACATATCCTATGTCTAGAACACAGTAGGTCATATATATAGTCATACCCTATGTATGACACTTAGTGGGTAATATGTATATGGCGTACCCTATGTATAGAACACAGTAGGTCATATGCATATTCCATACCCTATGTATGGAACACAGTAGGTCGTATGCATATGTCATACCCTATGTATGGAACACAGTAGGTCATATGCATATGCCATACCCTATGTATGGAACACAGTAGGTCATATTCATATGCCATACCCTATGTATAGAATACAGTAGGTGCCTAAGGGTTGGGAGAAGTGTTATTTTTAACATATTCACTTCTTTCTAATTCACCTGATTTTACAAAAGCAGGAGGCTACTTTAATCCTGCCAGTTCCAGCTGATAGCCCTTTAAAAATTCCCCCACTCAGATGCAAAAGTCCAAGTCCAGGCATCCAAATCCAGCATGCAGTGTTGGTGCCTGCCATCTCCTTCCTCCTGCTCCTCTTCTCCTGCCTTGCAGATGCCTCTTAGGGATTCAACGGTAGAGCACTTGTCAAGAGTGTCCGAAGCCCTGGGTTTAGGTCCTCAGATCTTCACAAAAATATGCCTGTCTCCTACTTAGCTTTTGAATGGCTGTTCATCACAGCATTGGCACATCTGTCACCATCCATGGGTCCAACTTATACCTGCCTGCCAAACCCCTCTTTTGCTTCGAGGGCTCTGTAATCCACAGCATGCAAAGAGGGACATTCTCTGCCATCCTGCAGGTCTCACTCAGACATAAGCACTACCTGACAGTCCTTCACTTAACCTAGAATGTACCAGGTACCTACAACATGTTAACATGGTCTTCCTGCAACTGTGCCTCCTCTTCTACATTACACTGGGAATGCTTTGGAAGAAGAAGCCAGGATCTTGAATGAATTCAAGTGGTCCATACACATGGCGCATGCATGTCAAATGACTGATCAAAGAGAATGTGGCCTGTTTCGTGTTGTTGTACACACTGTTCTACTCCCCTAGAATACCCTCTTCAGTTCTCATTGCTTCCATCTGTCAGGCAAAAGTCGTCTTGCCTGGCCTGCCTTAGAATCTTCTCTACACTCAGCTCTCAATCTCAGGCTTCTTACATTTATTTTTTGCTGAATAATTCACCCCTAAGAGCAGGGATGGCCACACTCTGCAGTATTCGAATACTTGGCGTTCTGCACTAGGAAAGCACTGGATGGCTCCACGCAGGTGCTGTAGTCACTGCTATACCAAATGTAACTCTGAACTTTAGTGCACATGTTCCTTGCTAGTACCTTAGGCATGGAAACGTGCTTCTTTCTTTTCTGTCCTCCAGCATCCATGTGAGGTGGCTATGCTGTAGCCCCATGGTATTTGGTCCACATCTACCATGCTTTGAGAACTTCAAATGGTACTTAGGAATCTTTAAAAAGAGAGCTGAGATGTTCAGTTATAATACAAATTGGGAACAGTTCTGGCAGCCAAGAAAGGAGAGGCCGTGGAAAGTCCAGCGGTTAAATCAAAGAAACTTGACTGAAATTTCAGCTCCTGATCTGTCTGACTGAGCAGCTTTGTGCACATTATTCTCCATCTCTAGTTCTTACCTTCTGCACCTACCACATGCTAACATAGGATCTCGAGTCACAGTATCAGAAAGACTTTAAAAAGATGATCCATAGACACTTGTCATGGTGCAGAGTGCTAGCGTGTGATAGACATAGACATGTCAACAAATGCCATTAGTGAGTTCTATGTCAAAGCACCAGGAATATACCAATGTGTTTATATCTTAAAATATAAAATTATTGAAAATACTTAACAGTGAACATATCTTTCCAAAGGGGGAATCCTGAAGGATGTCCCTAAGTAGCTACCTCATGAAGGATAATAGGGCATCCCTTTAGCTAACACAGCTTCTCTGTCACCAAGTCAGAGGCATCCATCTTGTTTCAGGATTGGAAAGAATTGTTAATTATTGTGGTAACATGTCTTCAATTTTTATTAGTTTTTTTTCTTTTACAAGAGTGATATCTCTATAAAAAGGTGGACAAGGTAAAAATTTTGCATGCTAAAGTTAATAAATAGATTTTATGTGTGTGTGTGTAACTTTATATTATATAACTATCTTATTAGTGAACATATCAATGGTCTTGATACCAGGTTTACCTTCCTATAATGAAAAATTACTGTCAAAAAGATGGACAAAGGGAACAAAAATATCACATCAGTAGAGAAAATACAGGGCTAAACTGTGTTGTCAGAGAAAGGACACACATATTAGGTGGTTCCTGCCGTAGACTGTCGTTCTGTCTGCAAGTCTGGGGAGAAGGGGCCCAAACAAAGCACAGAAGTCCTGATGCATTGGAGGCAGAGATCAGAATCTGAGCAGGTCCAGACAGCCAGAAGAATAGAATGGAGCAAGACCCCTTAAATGCTATCTACCTGAAATCTTTTTGTCCAAGAAATTTCTATACAGCCCTAGATATATAGCTATTTTAAAATAGGCATGCAAATCCAATGTTTGCTGGCAATAAATCATAAATAAATTTATTTTAAAAAAATTTCCATGCACATAATTTTACTTACTAAATACGAAGGTAAATTTGCATGCTAATTAAATGATTGTGCTGTTTATTTCTTACATAGAGAATTAAATCTTGACGATGTATTTGATGATGCAGGATTGAGAGCATGTCTGGTGTTTTTCAGAGTTGATGGATACTTTAATTTTGTTGTTAAACTGTCATTATTGAGAATGTTGTGTCACATAAATACCTAATACAAAAATGGCAGAAGTTTTGGGCTACTTTCAGAAAGTGTTAGGAATTCTGAGTTTTAACAAAACTTTAAGGAAGAAACAATACCATTCTCACAAAATTCTTTAAAGAAGATGAGCATTTGCCACTGTATCTTCTAGGATAATCCTATGCTACCCAAACCAAATGACAAAACTTCAAATCAAAGCTCTTTATAAACGTGGATACAAAAGTGTTAAATACATATTAGCAAATTAAGTTTAGCAATGCTTCAAAAAGATAATGGACCATGATCATACAGGAAAAAAATGCAATGATTAGTTTAACATCAAAAGATCAACTATTATTACTCACCAGAATCACAAAACATAGGAGAAAATTATGAGTACTTTAAGGTATGTAAGAAAAATCCATTTGACTTATCACAGCATATGAGATCAATGTGCACCTATCAGTTTATTTTTATGCAGAACCAATGAAATTGGAAGAACGTTAAAAATAACATGACTGAAATAGCATCTAAATCATCAACTAAATGGTGATAAGTATAAAAATACTTGTGAGACCTGTACACTAACAACTACAATGCAAAAGACTCAATTGCTAACATATACCATGTTCGTGGATTGGAAAACTAAATGTTAAAATAAAAAGCCTCTCTCAAACTAATTCCTATTATCAATATAATTTAATTCAAAAATTAATTATTGGTGGGTTCAAAAAATGAATCAATTTTTTAAAAATCTTGTTTTATGGGTAGTTGCATGTATGTATGTATATATACGCATCATGTGCTTACATGGTATGCGAGGAGGCCGGAAGAAGGTGTCAGAACTGGAACGGGAACTGGCGTCACCTGGAACTGGAATGACAGACTGTGATTTATGACTTGCCTGATGTGGACCTTGGGAACTGAACTTGAGTTGTCTGTAAGAGCAGCAAGCGATCTTAAATGCTGAACCATCTCTCCAGCTCCTTGACAATCAAATTTAACTATTCACAAGGAAATGCATAGGACTTTTAATATAGTTACATCATTTCTATAAAGAGCAAAGTTGGAGGACTATGCTGTCCGATCTTAAGGTCAAACCGCAGGGCATGGTGTTGGTGTGCAGGCTGTGATCCAAATCAGGGGGGAGTTTAGGACCCACCCTCATGTGGTCAGGTCAATTGGGATTTAGCATTTTAGAAAGTTAAGCGAACAACTGAACCACCAAGGATTAAAGGTGGGAACATCATTTCAAACAACCCAGCTAGACTCACTAGTTGCTGGTAGAGACAGCTATAAATCTCAGCTTTCACTCCACACTGTACACAGAAGGCAACTCAAGATGGGTTATGATTTTCAACCCAAAGCTTATAGCTACAAAACCCCTGAAGGAAATGGGAGAAGAAAATTTACCCAAAGGATAAAAGTTCCAACCAAATTAAAATCTTCTGTTCTGTCCCTTGAAAGATATTGTTGAGAAAATACAAAAGGAAAACTGTAAACCAGGGTGGAGAGTGGGCAAAACTTATTTTTTTTTATAATATTTGTATCCAAAGTAAAAACCTTTTATGTGTTGGGGATGGGTGAGGAAAGAGGGGTGGAGGAGAAGGAGAGAAAGAGGAAGAAGAAAGAAGCTGTAGAAACCAACACAGGAAATGAGGACCCCAGAGGTAGTAAGCGTGGAAATAAAAGGTAATTGCACAATGAGTCACTATTACATGCATACACTACACAGAGCCACAGGAATGCTTACTCATCCCCAGCAGGAGGTGAATGGGGACCTTAGGAAAGTCTGTGGCGGGTTCTAGTAAAGTTAGGGACACAGTCACTTCCCTTAAGACCTAACAGCACCAATCTTACCCCCTCTATCCCAGAGCTCGATGTATATCTACAGAATCTCAAACAGAAACAGGTGGCTGACAGCACTTTGTAAGCCCTCTGCACAACTGAGTCCTTCAGTACTAAAGGGAACAGTTTCAATAGTTACCTCATGAGTAAATCTCAAAACATTATGCTGAGTAGAAATATCCCCCAAATAAATGAAATGGCACTTACCATATGATTCCATTTATGTGAAATTTTACAGCAGCAGCGTCATAGCGGTGAATACATGCAGACCGAGGGGACAAGTGGCTTACAAGGAGGTATGGCAGGTGATAGGAGTGGTTGGGTCTTAGTTTTGTGGTGCCTGTTAGAGTACATACATTTGTCAAAGTTAATCAAGATGCACATTTAGGTGAGCTCTTTGTGTGTGTGCGGGTGTACAGTGTGTATGTATGTGTACTGGTGTACACGTGGAAGTCACAGATCCCTCTTCCATGTCTTCTACAATTAGTCTATCTTTTTATTTTATTTTGTTTGGGTTTTTTTTTTTTGGCTTTTCCGAGACAGGGTTTCTCCGTAAAGCCCTGGCTATCCTAAAACTCTCTCTGTAGACCAGGCTGGCCTCAAACTTGCAGAGATCTGCCTGCCTCTGCCCCTCAAGTGCTGGGATTAAAAACAGGTACCACCACAGCCAGCTTCTACCTTATTTTCTTGAGATGATGTCTCTCAGTGACCATAGAACTCACCCATTCAACTAGACTGAATGACCAGCAAGCTCTAGGAGTCTCCTGTCCCCGCCCACCTCACCCTAAGAGCTGTGACTTCAGGCAGGCACCACTGTCCCCAGCTTTTGTAAGTTGTCCTTTCCAGGAATCAAACTCTGGACCTCATGGTTATGTGGCAAGCACTTTACCAAATGAGCTGTCTTCCCAGCCCAAAATGAGTTCATTTAGTGTACGTCATGTATACATAAATCATATCTTAGTAATATTGACTTTAAATAATCAAAGGAGGGGGTGTGAATTGGACTTAAACACTGGCTTTGCTTTGTTCTCCATTTTTATGTAGCAATAAATCTTGCTCATCGAAACATTTGGTGGCACACCATTGGAAGACATTCTGTTGTTGTTCTGACAAATGTTTCAGCATCTACTGTACGTTAGGCATTTGTGACCGTGATGACAAAGGACTGGGTCCCATTCTCATGGCAGCGCAATGCTTTAAGGGAGACTGTGTTCACTGAGCAGGAGAAGGCACACTCTTAAGGCGAAACACTCCTAGTGGCCCCGAAAAGGGAGCCTGGCTGAGCCCAAGTGGATAGGCAGGGAGCTTTGGGATGCACTTACCCAGCGGAGGGGTGTGTATCACATTACAAAGCCTCTGTGGACAAGGGAAGGATTTTTTTTTCAAGGAACCAAAGGAAATTTAATGTGCTGGCGTCCTAAGAAAAATGAACTGAGGCAAAGTCTGAAAGGCAGGAAGCCTGGTTCAGGCCACAGAGGGGCCCTAAACAGGAGCCGCATGTGCCCGTCCAAGGCTGCCTGAGGAAACTTGCTTCTTGTTCTAGGCTGCTGGCAATGGGGAGGGGAGGGAGAGGTGGTATCTGAAAAATAAACAGTAACAGTGAAAGTTCTCCAGGGATGACAGGGGTGGGGGATGGGACAGTCACCGTGTGTCTGTAATGGCAATCCAACTTCTGCCCTGGACAAGTGTGCTCAGAAAAGCTGTCTTCACTGGACATACAAGACAGACAAAGAAGTCAAACTGAGGGATGGCATTCAGGGGCCTACTGAATCCAATTTTCTGGAGGGTGCAGCCAAGGGGAAATTCTGGACCACTGTACACAGGGTCCTGAAGTCTAGAGGCTGCACAGAACAGACATCGGGACAGAAAGTGTCGTTAAAACCTTAGGGAGGATGAGAGGACAAGCAGAGACTGGAGGAGAGCACAGGGCCCAGAACAGAGCCCAGAGAAAATCATCTTTTTAAATCTCTCTCTCCCTCCACCCCTTCTCTCTCTCCAGTGTGTGTGTGTGTGTGTGTGCTTGTGTGTGTGTGTGTGTGCATGCGATGTGTGTATAATGTATGGTATGTGTGTTCATATGTTAGAATGAAGGCACACACATAGAGTTAGAGGACAACATTGGATGTCAGTCTGTGCTTTCTGCCTGGCTTTGCCTGCTGCTGTGTGTGACAGGTTGGGAGCTTCCCAGCATTCTTCTGCCTCTGAGATTAAACACGTCCCTACAGAGCCATCTCCACAGCTCAGAAAACCAACTCTTAAGGTCTGGCCAGGAGAAGCAGGTTTCATAAAGGACAAAAAGGAGGAAGATGCAGGTAGAGGAGAAAACCCAGAAAGAATTTATACTATAAAAACTGGGACGGGAAGTGAGATCTCTTTCCCAGAGAATGTGGATGGGGATACCAACCCTAACGCAAGGCCCCGGTGCAGCGCTAGGGGGCGCCATGCTCACTGATAAGACCACCTCCTGCTGTCACTAAACAGTTACTCTGGATAGGAGACAGGGTCCCACCGCTCCAGATCTCCCTGCCCGAGGCAAATGCAAAACACGAACTGAGTCCATCTGTAGTGCCCCCTCCCCTGGTGACTTTTCCACGGAGCTGCATGACCACCTGTCGCTCATAAACAGCCTCTCAGGCTACACCAGTACATCATCCAAATCCTCTCTGCACAATGGGATGAGATGCTTGAGCTTTCCGAGTCTGAGTCCCTTTCTTGGACCACTGGGGAAGCAGGCTAAGGCTCTAGTCGGTCTCTGATTACTAGAAAAGAAGTATCCATTGCCTAGAGCCCCTCAACCCTATTCTTTGTTACTCCTCCCACACCCACAGTGGCAGAACTTGAGTAAGAATTATCACGGCAACCTGTGCGTGGGGCTGTGCAGGGTGAGCATCCCTATCTCCTTCCCAAGAGCAGGCTCTCCTGCACTCTCTCCCCCCTCCACCCAGACCCTAGACTGGCGTGGCTCTCTTTCCTACCCGGGTTTTATACAGTTACTCTCTTTCACAAGCACCCGGGTCGACTGACTGCAGACACCAGCTACCCTGCTGTCAAGGCGATGGCTGAGGAGATCAACAAACCCCACCTGGGAGCCAGATATCCAACGAATCTATTCTCTGCTCCTTCAGCCAAGCTCCCGAAACCCTCGCCAGGTTCCTGCCACCCATAGATTTGCAGGGGAGACCTAGATAGCACTAAGCACCGGGGCTTCGCCGGCTGCATCGCTGCACGTGCACACAGGCAGGTGTCCCTCCCCTCCCCCTCGATGCCTGCGCAAGGCTGCGGTCCTTTGTGTCTGAGTTTCCTAGAGCGGCGTCTGCTCTAGACTGGGTGGGGTGGGGGAAGCCGGAAGCAGCGTCTGGGGCTTGAAAAATGCCTAGAAGGGTGGACGTTTTCTTTCACAACCCTGACCCCTCCAGGGCCTCCCGCCTTCACTCCTCCCCTCCACCCCCCCCCCCCCGTCACCGCTCCCCCACCCCCGCAAGCTCAATCACCATCAACTCACCTTGCTTTCTCAGTTTCGTCTCCCACCCACCCCCGCCCAGGTCATCTGGATGTCATTGTCGCTGCGGTTCCCCAGCTGTGGGCTTGCATTCTCTGCCCCCACGTGCACGGACCTACACGTGCTAAAGCACCCCCACCCTGTGGGCCTGGACCCCTACAACTTCACTTCTGGGGGAGTTTCTTCAGGTACCTCATTTCCTGGCTACATGATCCCCATAAAGAATGGGCTTTATCCCAAAAGAGTAACGAAAGGGGACTTGGGAGTATTTAATTGGAGCAGGAGAAACTGCCAGTGAAGGGTCTGCATTTTTGTTGAAGAGTTGGTGGGCTGCCTGTGAGGTTTGGGGCAGTTTAGTCTTTTCCTAAAGACAGCGAAAGGAATCTATTTCTCCACTCCTCTGATTGCAGACTTTTGGCGGGCAGGGTGGGGGTAGGGGCATGCAGCAAACCCCATTCAAATGTTTTCCTTTTCTCTAACCAAAAAAAAAAAAAAAAAAAAAAAAACTGTTGCTGCATTCAGGGACTGCTGATTTTCTATTTTATTATGTTAACTGGTAATGCTGAAGAAGATCAGCAAAAAATCTAGGACAGTATTGCTTTAAGAATCTAGACAAAAACACCTTAAATGAACTCTGCAGCAGACAGATGAAGAAAAAAAAAAGCCCTTCTCTGCTGGCCCTTGCTGCTTTTTGCCATTATTCATGATGTAATTTTTCAGGTGTTAGTTTGGCAGGAAAGATTGGAACTGGGCTTGTTGCTAGGACATGAATGAAGAAGAGGAATCTCATTGGTTCCTTGGTACTTGGCAGGAGCCAATAGGAATGAAGGGGAGGGAGGCCACCACCATCACTAAAAAAAAGAAAAGGAAAAGAAAAGAAAAGACAAGACTCCGGCCAGACTATTAATGCTTTGCTATGTCAAAGTGGAGTGGAATATTGTGAAGTTAGGGTGGGGTCTCTTAGCGTATTTTAGGGTGTCGACAGGCAGTGGTACTCGATGGACCAGGACTGAAGAATAAGCAATTAGGAGACAGCTTTGTGCAGACTATCCTGGGTTTTTCTAATAATTCACTGTCATTGCCAGTCTGGAACAAGATGCAAGCAAGGCTGGGAACATTTAACACCCTTAACCCACTGCCGCACACCGATTGGGGACTGCAATTATGCTAATGGAGGCAGGAATGCTGTTGTAGAGGTGCTGGGGTTCTCCTCTAGTCTTTAGTCATCGGTACTAAATGAACCCCAAATAACCGTCTGCCTTCTGCCATGGAAGTGAGCCTCTCTGTGTGAACTGGGAGTCGACATGTTCCCTGCCCAAGGCATGTGAACAGGCTCCCATCACCACATTGCCATGGGCGTCTCAGTGGCTAACAAGACCCGGCCCAGCCAAACCTCCAGTTCTAATGCCTTTCACGTGGCAGAACACTGCAGCAAAAAAATGTCACTGGGTTTCCAGACCAGCGTCATAAAATGGTCACCCACTTAAGCCTTCTGAGCCCCAGGCTCCCAGCTAGCATAGTAAGCAGTTCTGGGTGCTGATCATGCTTAGTGGCTTGATTCCCAGCAGTCTTTGAAACTAGGGAGGGAGAGATGTACCCCTCCAGGGCCCCCGTTTTCCTCCATGAACTCTACAGACCTTACACACACTGCATTTTGCTATCACCTATTGTCTGAGCTGCGGCTGTATCCCACACCTTTTCTTTAATAACTGGGCAGGGCTTTGAGCTGACTGATTTGAAACACACACACAATAAATTGACTTCTATTGGGTTATAGACCAGGCTGGTTTATTTACACCCTGGAGGAGGCTCAACCTCTGCCAGATCCCTGACTTCAGAGATTTTGTGGCTGGCGTCCAGCAACATAAAAGGATGTTTCCTTGTAACCGGAGCACTTCCTAAAACCACAGGCAGTTTCAATCAATTACCATCTCTGGATGCAATGCAAAAATTTTAGGGGACTCCAAAGGACCAGGACTGTTTTCAACCACAAGTCTTTCTGGATCCATAACAGGCATTGATCTGATTATTGATTAATTTGTTTTCTTGTCAATTGCTGGGTCCTCCCAAGTTACTGCAGATTTCGGGGAATGAAGGGTGGGGCAGTATCAGAAAATAGGAAAAGGTGAGACGAGAAAAAGCTTTCTAAATAGTCCTTCTTCTCTCAGCCAAACAAAGCCAAGGCTCTGTGCATGTCCACACCACAGCATAGACAGAAAACACAGCTCTGTGTGTGGACCCTAATTGCACCCTTCAGGTGACAGGTACCCTGTGAGCCTCATTTCAAAGCCAAAGTCAGGGCTGCATAAATCTGATTCCAGCCAGGCGGCATTTCAAAATAAAAGTATTCAGCCTGAGCCTGAAATGGAAGTCACCCTCCAGGCTCCAGGAATCTGATCCGGTGTACCCAGACAGGCTGTGCACTGTACATTGTTCTTCGTTCTCACAAAATCTGACTGCCTGACAGAGCTAGCTGTCCTGTCCCAACTGAGCACAGCCCCTCCCCCCGGGGGGGGGGGGGCAGAGCCAGAAGTGTAACACAGTCTGCACAGGGAAGTTCTGATCCATGCAGCTGCCCAGGGGAGGAAAGGGGTCCTCGAAAGGAAAGAAGGTAGCATGTCATCTCTCTTTTTGTATTTCAGTGTGTTGATGAATTAGGTATTATTCTGTATTTACTGGAGGAAATGGCTGAAAATCATAAGCCTGTGGACGTAGCCTGGTAGAAGATTTGCCTAGCAGGTACGAAGCTCCGGGTTCCATCTCACAAACTGAGTATAGCAGCCCAAACCTGCAAGTCTAGCCAAGGGGAGGTGGACACAGGAGATTCAGAAGTTCAAGGCCAGCCTCAGCTACCCAGT